GATACAGTGTCAAATAAACATGTAAATTAAGAAGAATTACTTAGAATACTACTATTTTCCCCCAATATGTTCTTGGGGACGGGAAAGATCACAGAAAGAAATATTGATAAAAAAACAATCCAAAATCCTGAGTAGACCTCGATCCACAGTGTCCAGAAGCCATATCAGATTTGACACATATGTGATTTCCACATAGGCAACATTCATGAAATAGTAATCACATCCTTACAGGGAACATTGTGGCTGGTCTTTGTAACTTGTATTATAAGCACGGGCTTGAGATTTTGCTTTTGTAAAGGTGAAAAAACGAACAAACAATTCTCATTTTTAATGAAAGGGTTGATCTGATAGAAATTTTAATATTTACTGATTGCTCACCAGTTGCCAGGCTATCGCATTTAGTTTTCAAAATATTATCCTGTTGTAGATAATAAAAATACCACTTTAAAAAGATGAAAAATTAAAAATTTCAAAAATGAAATAAAATAATATGAGCAATAATAATTGGGTTTGCCATGACTTTCACTCAAAACAACATACTATATCATAAACACTTTTATAAGCTTTACCAATCTAACTCTAAATGTATTCCAGAGAAATCTTCTAAAAATTAATGTATAAATTTACAATAATTACATGCTCCTCAAAGGATCATTTTTTGGAAGAGACACAGATAATTTTACAGTTCAAATAGGAAAAAACACAAGTAAGTATAGACACAAAAGTTATAAAAAATGTAATTCTATTAGTAATAAATCTAAAATCTAAATTATATAAATATTAGTATATGGTTTAGTCAGTTTTCAAAAAATGTGTTTGTAAACACTCTTGGATATAAACATTGTTAATGGGAAAGGGGGAAGATTAGTGATAGAGAAAAGGCATAGAATTGAGGACGCCAAAGATTGTAACCAATAAAAACATGCTGCAAGCAATGCTTTGTAAAAGTAGAGTAGAAAGCTCAAATACCAAGCCAACATTCACACAGAAATGAAAAGCTGGCAAAGGCATCACAAAATGTGACCTTAAACTTGATGATGAAATGATGAGCATTTCAACCCTGAGTTTTCGAGTCTTTAAATAAGAGTTTTGAGTAGGGTGGAGTAGCAAATGAGGATAAAAGCAAAGAAAGGAAAATGAAAAAAAGAGAAGACAGTAGGAATGAGAGGAAGAAAGGGAGGGATTATGGGGAAAAGAGAGCTATATAGCCAAGTAAATAGGCTGGAAAAGTGACTTATTGTTTCCTACTGAATGTAAAGTATCTTGCACACAAAATAAATACCATATGTGCATATACAACATTCAGACAGAAGACTTAAATAAAACTCACTTTTTAAAGGATTTCAAATATCTTTAAATTTTTTTGTGCAAATATTTAAGGATATGCAATAAATGTAAAAGGAGATGCTTGGTAGGTTATTAAATAACTAGATGAACACTCTCTCAAATGATGTGAATAGTACACTGTTTCTTTGCTTTAGAAACTTTGTAAAACACTAAATCTCAGTGTTACAATTAGCTATTATTGTCTATACTGCTTTTTAGAGAATTTAGTTCCATATTATCATTAATTCCATATAATCACTAAAAGGCAGCAAGCTCATTTGTGTTTACTTCACTTCTAGATGCACTCACATCCTACCGACACTCTCTGTGGGGCTTATGATGAGCAAAAAGAAAGAAACTATAGGCCATTCTTTGCTTCTGGGTTACCATTTTCTGCATAAGTAGCACTTAATTTTTTATGACATAATCCAACTACACAGATTTAAGAGATGCTATTAAATTATCAATTAGAAAACATTCATAAGACTTACCTTCTGTAGCCAAATTGATACACAAGGCTTGTGGAAGAAATGGTGGCAGGGTAACTCTGTTGCTATGTCATCCTTAATGTACTCACTGCAACAGATGGGGCAGCACTGCTCCTGGCCGATAGCTGGGAACGACACATAATTGGTGCTATCAATCACACACAGTTCAATTTTAATGAAATTAAAAACCAACATGTTAGTGCACAGATAATACAAGAAAACTAGACTTGGCTAAATTTGGTTCTGATTAAAATACCACTCTTGGGAATCTGATAAAACATTGCTTCTGACTACATAACATTTGTCCCAGACATAAGCTGATAAGTCAAAAATATTACTCTTCTTGGTAAAAGTTGGTCAGAATTTGGTGGCTAAAGAAAACTGAATGCAAGTTTCTAATACACAGTAATTGATCTTCTTGGTACATTGCTAATTGTGCCCTTTGGGACCATCTTTGTCTTACCAGTGTGATCTTCAAGAACAAGGGTTTCTGGAAGACCATCGATGCTCTCCTTACTTGCTGGGGGATTGGCCACCTCAACATCCACTGCAAGAGACTCTAAATGTGCCAGGGCAGTCTGGGGGGAAAAAAGTATATTGCTTGTAGACAGCATTTAAAACGGTAATAGGAAATTAATGTTTTTAAACTACAATACAGCATTATCCTCTCCCAGCTAGTTTCCTTCCAAAAGAACCCACACACTGTCACTGTCCAAGCACATCATCCAAAACATCCCCCGCCAATCCTACCCTTCACAGGGCAACAACAATCTATCGTGTTCAACAATAACCTCCTTGCCCAGCAGCTTTGTTTATCTACGCACTGCTCTGGGTGGGGTCGACAGTATGAGAGGGAGACTATCCACACACTCTGGGGAGGCTGCGCATGAGAAGAGAAAACGTGGTTGCGGTCACTGGATGTTTACGGTATGGAAGCAAATGAGACATTGTGAACATGTGTGTTTCTTGCTGGCAGAGGGTCAGCGTGCCCACAGTATCACTCACAAATACTACTCAGTTACATGGACTGTGAACCTGACTGAGAAGTTCAAATGTTTGTACTACAGTTACTGTTCGAACAAGGATGGAAAGAACATCAGATCATATGAGTCACCCTCATCCTTTCTGGATTAATTAGTTTGCCTGCTCTAATGAGATTATAAATACAAGTAGCTTAGATATTTTTGTCTGCCACTTGCACAATTATATGCTCTTAGTGCTCATGTTGGTTCCTGTGACTGGTCATGGCTATCTATCTATAGCTTATCAATTCCTCGGGCCTGGGTGAGTCCTATCTCATCCATGAAAACTGTATCGGTGCTCCCTGATCATTTTCCTATTTTTCTTCAGAACTGCTCCTATATGCAAATTGAAAATAGTTAATATTATATCCTAATGACAACATTATAAAACCACAGACCTATGAGAAACCTTAGCATTAATCTAGTCCAAAAACAGATTTGAAAACTACCAAAATAGAGCCTCCCACATAGAAGGAGAAGTTTGCCTGACTGATAGTTAATGCTGTCGAATGTTGTGCAAGTCTTGGATAACAAGCTTTATATTTTCAGCAATCTCTACCATAGATATTATAGCAATGTACTATGCCTTTCTGCCAAAAAGGACATGGGATGATTTATAAAACAGAATAAAGCTAAGGTAAAATCAAGTCAGGGCTGAAAAATGAGAATGCAAAAAGTCTCATCACATTCCGAGGATGGTGTAAGGCTGGGCAGTGCTTTGTTCTGTTATATATAAGGTTGCTGTGACTCAGAGCTGTCCTGATGGCACCGAACAATAATAATATAACTGAAGTTAGTCTTTATCTTAAGAATTCAATTAAAGACCCACATACACAGTTATCTTTTCTAAATCTGTAGTCTGAGTGGTGTAATTTAGGTGCTTGCTCAGCTGATAACCAAAAGGTTGGGGTGGGTGGGGGAGGGGGGTTAGCATCCACATAGAGTTCCCGGGAATAAAGGCCTGGCAACCTGGTTCCCACTAACCGGTCCCTGAAAGTCCTGTGCAGCACAGTTCTACCCCCACACACGTGCCAGCGTCAGAAGTAACTTGATGGCAACTGGCTTCATTTTTTTCCTATTTAAATTCATCCAGACTAAAGACCTCTCTCATCTGCAAACATCTATTGTGTTGATTCACACAATAAATCCTTTTTGAATCCCTTATTGCACCCCCCTAAAATGGAAAGAATTAATAGTTACTAATACTGTACTTCAAATTTGGTGCTGGGTTTTCTGAGATACTGCACAAAGAAAAACAATGTGCCACCCATTGACTCACTGCTTCTCAGACCCAAATTACCCTTCAGATCTGCTCTGTGAAAATAGATCTGTGCCCTGTAAATATTTTTCCTGTATCAGCTAGCATGATCTTAGCTTCACCACTAGAAGGTATTGGAGAGACACTGAAGGTGGAAAGGGCTTTCCTTCCTGGTTCCCATGGGCTTGTTGGGCATCCTCCCAGTCCTCTTTCTGCAATGTGGGTGGCTTCTTCAGGATTTGGATCAGGTTTATTCAGGTTCCCCAGCACCTGGCTCCTGCAATCCAGGTGGCCTGCAGCTTCGCCTAGCACCTTCCCTAAGTAGTATTGTGGGGGGGGGTGAGTTACCTCGCTGCCAATAGTTTCTTCCTGGCCTCAAAGATGGATTTTCAGTACATCCCAGAGGGCGGATCGTAGTGCTTCCTCAAGTACTCCATCTGAGACCTATTAACTGAGGGCGCAGTGGTTGCTTGTTGGACTGCGATCCACCAGCGGGCTCCACAGGAGGAAGACGACGCCTTCTACTCCCCTAAACAGCTAGTCTTGGAAACCCACAAGTCAAACACTGACTCGTCTGCAGTGAGCTTTTGGTTTTGGTTTGCGTCAATGTCTGGTTATGCAAATCTCTTGTAATAGCCAGTAATTATTTACACTTTCTTGTTCAAATTAATTTAGGATTTCTCTCTTAATTGAGCCCAGACTGATAGAGAACTGGTGTTAGGAACAGTTGCAGGCCACAGACTAATAAGAATGAGATTTGGAGATGGGTTTGGTTGGGTCTCTGGGCTTAAGTACAGTGCTGTGATCTTTGCCAAGACGAAACAGTACACTACTAGTACGCTACCCGTGGCGTGCAGTGGTGTCACAATGAATCAAGCCTGTGGTTGACTGTGGTAAAGGGACAACTGAAGATGTCTTGGGTGTCCAGATGGCTCCTTCAGGAATGATGACTATAAAAACTATGATGTGAAATAGATTCTCTGAGTGCCCTTGCATGTTTACAAAGAAAAAACGCCCAACTTAGGGCTATTAAATATCAGTTAAAAATAGAGTATGAAAATCAGAGGCTTCCATGGCAGCCCTAAAATAATTCATTTCTAAAATTTTTTTTTTAAAAATTAAAGTATATGAATTGCTCAATTACATTGAGGTCTGAATTCTCCATCTTGAAAAGCTTCTCAAAATTCACAGCATTGATTAGTAAAAAATAGCCCTCTGGAGACTGGATTGGACTCAGATGAAAGAGACAATCTTAAACCCCAAGACATTCTTTTAGCAGTGGAAGTAGCTTACGCTTCACACGTTAGTCTTTCTCTGCTTAAAACTCCTGTGATAAGCACACCTAGAGTACACACGCCCTAGGACCCCCTGACCAATAATAAAGGTTCATGGAAAACTACAGCAGTCAAATAAAGCTTAGTATGATTGAGGCCACAGATCATTCAGGACTGAGAGTTTTGTCATTCCAAGTAAAGAAGGGAGACGCCCGACAGTGTAAGATATGACAAAATAATAATAATTTATAAATTATCAAGGGTTCATGAGGGAAGGGAGAGTGGGGAGGGGAAAAAATAAGGAGCTGATGCCAAGCAGAAAGCAAATGTTTTGAGACTGATGAGGGCAACAAATGTACAAATGTGCTTGACACAATGGATGTATATATGGATTGTGATAAGAGTTGTATGAGCCCCCAATAAAATGATTTAAAAAAAAAGAATTCCAACCAACTGAGGTATCAATCATTTGTTATTCCACTCCTGTTTAGTTAATAATTTCATAAACTTCTCAACCAAGAGATGAGAAATGGAAGGTCAATGCCTGTTATTTGCCCATTCTCACTATAACTATAGTCATGAGTCTTCTCTAGCTCTCTGACTACTTCTCAAGATACTTGGTTTAGAAGAACTTATCAGTGCTACTGCTAAACAGAAAGAAAACTTTTGACATCAAGTTAATTCTTACTCGGAACGCCCATAAGGACCTAGGAGAATTTTCCCATAGGATTCTCAAGGTTGAAACTTTATGGAAGCAGACTGCTACATCTTTCTCCCACTAAGTGGCTAGTGGGTTCAAACCACCAATCTTTGAGTTAGCACCTGAGTGCTTGCACAGTGTGCCACCAGGGCTCCCTGAAACCAAAGGACTACTACAGTGGTTCTCAACCTTCCTAATGCCGCGACCCTTTAATACATTTCCTCAGGTTGTGGTAAGCACCCAACCATATAATGATTTTCGTTGCTACTTCATAACTGTAATTTTGCTACTGTTACTAAGTGGGCGACCCCTGTGAAAGAGTTGTTCGACCCCCAACGGGGTCACCACCCACAGGTTGAGAATTGCTGGGCTACTATATTGACAGTAATTTCCATTTTGGTAGGTTATTTCAGAGTAACTATACTTCAGTGCATATTTACCTCAATGTGTTCAGCATGATTCCTTTTGATGTTTATCTTCACATTTATAGTGGTAATACATGCTTCTAACTTTAGCCATATAAAAATAATTTGTTGTGTTGGCACTGACATACAATTAAGGTGATCTAGGCTCACCTCTTAGCCACATAAGCAAAGAGGCCATTTTACTAACTGTATCTTTAGACACTACAATACATTTACAAAATCTAATCCAAATCAAATGGACTAACCATCCCAACCTATAATACATATAGATTTCACATTTACACATTGCACTAAGGAAATCTGCTGCAAACGCAGCAGAGAAGCAAAAATGGCACCTGGAGAATGAGGGTCCGCCTACCCAAGCCTGCAAGTTCACAACAGCTTCAGTATATGCAGGCAAAAGCTGGTCAATGGGTAAGGGAAAATCAAGATGTGAATACATTTGATTCAGTATGTGAAGATTACTAGAACAACAGCAACCAAGAAAACCTGTCTTGGAAGTATAGCCAGAATGCTCCTTCACAGTCAAGGTGGTGAGACTCTGTCTCGCTTATGCTGGATGTATTATCCGGAGGGACCAGTCCTTGGTGAAGGACATCATGATGGGTGAAGTAGAGGGTCAGCAAAAAAGAGGGAGACCCTTGGAGACTACGATGGGTTCAAATACAGTAATAGCTGTGAGGACGGCACAGGACATTCTGTTTGTACAACATGTTGCTATGTATCAGGCACCTAATAACAAAATAGCACACAGGAGTGGCAAATGATGAAATAATTGACCATTAACCAAAAGATTAGAATTTGAAACCCACCCAGAGATACCTTGGAAGACAGGAGCAATGGTTCCCTGAGGGCATGGGAAGGAGGGGGGAGGGGGCGGAATAGGGAGCTGAGAGCATTGGTGACTGTATAACCCCACTCAATGGGATCGACAGAACTGTATGTGAATGGATATATTGGATACAATTTGGCAAAAAACCAAAAACAAAACAACAACAACCCCAAAACTATTATAGGGAGAAAAAAAAGGATTCCTGGGAGATAGGGTGGGGATATAGGGTAGCTGATATCAAGGAGTTCAAGAAGAAAGAAAATATTTCAAAACTAATTATGGTAGCAAATTGTGGAATACTTCTTGATGTGATTGAACGATGGAATATTATGATATCTGTAAGAGCTCCCAATAAAATGATTAAAATAATAATAAATGAAGTTTTAAAACTGTCTATGTCCTTAACCTCTGTGTACTTACAACACTGTAATGTCTACACCTCAGTGTACACAGGGTGTTATGAGAGCACGATGCTTTCAAGGGGACTATGACCCTGACAGTCTCAAGAGCATCTCCTTCCTTTGTCTCCTTCCTCCACTGCTCTGCCTCAAATGTACATACAAAGTGTCTGGTGCTCTGTCCCCATGCTTGCCTCCATACTAGCTTGCTGCCATTCTATAAAACAAAAGTATACGTCTTTATTCATGTCAAAGGGCATCTGAAATACTGAGGTCAGATGGAACAGATGTGAATAAATACACAATCATTTTAGGTGGATGTCAATTTTCTGTTTTCCAAAGAATTGAAAGAGGGCTTGTAATCAAATTGATGTGACTTTTGGCAAATAACTCAGAAAAAACTGAATGACAATGTTATGCCATGCCCATCAATTTATTTATGAAATATTGTTTCTCAAGTTTCTATCTGTAATAATGAAATACAGAAAACTTACGCCAAATAGTGATTCATTCTACTAGGAATAAATAAAATTTACTCTCAAAGTAATTGGGGGGGAGGGGGAATCCATCTCATTTAGTACATTTCCAATAAAATTTGATTTATGTTCTAAGAGATATTTATCTTCATAGACTAGATATTACTGATAATTATAATAACTTCATTTCAACTAATTGCTGTTGTTGTTGTTGTTAGGTGCCGCCAAGTCGATACAAACTCACAGAGAGCCTGTATACAACAGAAAGGAACACTGCCTGGATCTTTGCCATCTTCACCACTGTCCTGTTTACGCCCACTGTTGTAGCCATTAAAACTAACTTAAAACACATTTAAATTGTTAAACATAACTTTATCATAAACAAGTATTGTGGTAGTTACATAGTTTGTTGTCAATTTGAGTCTTAATGAGTGAAAGGGTGGAGTTTAGGCTGTCAATCAGGTCGCAGCTTGATGACCTCATTTGGAGGCACTCAGAAGACAAATAGTTCACTGGAGGTGGGACACATGCTCACTCCCTAGGAGGCTTTCTACTGACAAGGTTCACTCCCTGCAAGACATTTTTGTTGCGAAGGCACATGGAGCTACGCTAGAGCCCTGGAGCTGAAGGAGCAATATGGAGACCCCTTCCAGTGCTGAGATGTTTCCACTGCCATTGGATCCACAAGACTTCCCACCTACTGGCCTGTGATCTTCCTGCATTCAGCGGCATTGCATGTGTTTTGTGAGTCTGAAGAAGACTTTATAGATTGGTATCGGACATATGGGCTAATATCGGTCTTAATGGACTTGATCTGCACTGGGCTGGGCTATTTTCTTAATGTACTCTTTATATAAAATTCTTTCTTATATACATATGAGTGTCTGTGAATTTGTTTCTCTAGTCTACCCAGACTAAACAAGTATGATGTAATGGATAATACTCCGTAGACTGATACAAAAAAATAATTGGATGTCAGCATTAAATTATGCGTGGAACACATTTTCTTTCCAAAATTTGTTTGAATAAAAAGCTATTGTCAAGAATAGCTAAAGAACTTAAGTATTTTACCCTGTTTTCACTCAAATTTGAAACACAGATATGGCACAAATGTACCAATATCAATTATAGTCAACAACAGCCTTTTTCTGAAAAGAAAGATTAAAACTACTATAAAAATGAAAATAAGGATTATGTAGTAACATGAAGTATCTCAATACAGGCCAGGGTTGTTTGATAAATACATAAACAAACATGGAAACAAACAAAGATGGTATGTCTTAAAATTTGTTGTCTCACTTAAATAATGCTAGTTAGATCTAAAGAGCAGTGTAGTGGGTTATACAATGGGCTGCCAACCACAAAGCCAGCAGTCTGAACACACCAGCTGTTTCTTGAGAGAACGATAAGGCTCCCTGCTCCCAAAAAGACTTACAAGCTCTGAAACCCAAAAGGGGCAGTGCTACCTTGTCCTCCAGGGTCACTATGAGTCAGAACTGACTTGATAGCAGCAAGTTTTGAGTTAAATCTAAAGGGAAAACTAGTAATTTATGGATTGTTCCATTTTTAAAATGCTTCAAAAAATGTACAGACTGTACATGAAATACTATGATTTCTGAGAATAGGAAGGTGGAAGTGTATTGGTTCCTCTCTCTCTTACACACACACACACACACACACACACACACACACACTAACTCAAATTCAAGTAAAATAAAAATACCACTATAATTTCAGAAAGTGGACAAGCTGTGGGGAAAAAAGGCGTACAGCTTTAGCAGCAGGGGTGCAGGCAAGAGTAACTGAAAGAAGCAGTGCTACTGGGTTCCCTCGTGACAGAAACAACAATGTGTGGGGCTGTACCTTCCCTGAACATACGAAGCATGTCCTTATCGCCTAACTCAGTTCTCTGCGCCAGTGCCTTTACCTAGCATGCCTGATCTCTCTAGCTCTTCCTCAAGATGTCAACCAAATGTCATACTTATCTGTGAGGAACACAATAGAACTTTTAATTCTCAACATTATAAAAAAAGAAACGTTTCCGTATTGTCAAAACACATAAACCACTAGCATAATAGAACACAACAAAACAATAAACCAAAACTGTTCAAAGACTGCAAAATGAGGCCCTAGAAAAGATGGATTCCATTGTGGTTACGCAAAATTTATTTGGCTCAAGGAAGATCACTCTTAATTTTTACATGCAAAATTCCTTGTGCACGTTGTCTTGCTATACCAATATTTTCTATGTGTCAGGATTTGGCAAGGCAGGTTAAATAATCTGGCAAAAGTCCTAAAATTATATTGTCTCATAATGTTCTTTCTGACTTTTCCCCCCGGACTTTTCTAATAGACAATATTTCTAGTAAGGTTGTTTTGAAACATGTTTTCGCTAACAGAAAGAAATCCAAAAGTGTCCACCTCTATTAAACACTGCAGACAAACCCAGTGTTCGTTTAAAGAGAAGGCGCACACCTCACGCAGCGAGAGCAATGCTTCCCGGCTCCTTTTCCAGGAACTCACGCAGCATTTCAGCATCAAGCCGCCATCCCTCTGAACTGTGTCTGTGAACACTGAAGCTTACTGCTATTTCAGGATTTACGTGTTATTTAGTACAGTTTGGTACAGTATTTTGGGGAGTCTGGAGCAACACTCAAAAATCTTTCTCATATAAATTAATGGCAATTTTTCTTCTGTGCCTAATGCCATTTTAGCTTACGAAAAATTTCATAGAAAACTCTATTTTAGAGGAAAGAGGGAAGAAATTTGTAAAATATCCTTCCAAAAATCAAAACCACTGCGATCAAAGTTGATTCTGAATCTTAGCAACCTTCTAGAACAGAGTGAGTTTCTTAGGGTTTCTGAGGTATCTTTCTCCCAGAGATCTCCAATTTCATTTCATAATATACCCATGTGGATGTGTGGGTATAAATTGTTCCACCTCACACACCGATAAAATCTGATAGAGAAAAATTGTATTTTCTAAATGTAAGCAAGATATTTTCCATCCTACAGTAAAAATGAGCAGATATTGCAGTTTTAGACAGACCAACAAGACTCAAGAATAACTTCCACTGACTGGTTGTAATCATTATTCAGTAATTATTAGTAACTTGATTAGAAAACGACTACCTTTTATTTAAAAGTAGTTTGAAACCTCATTAACATTTACTTAAGAATCATTTTGCATCCAATTGACATATACATATGCATATATAAGCACCAAATAAAGAGCCAAGCCCACTACCATAGCGTTGATTCTAACCCACAGCAGATCTATGGAGTAGCACTGCTCCACAGGGTCCCCCGGCTGTAAGTCTTTACCACAGCAGACTGCTGCGTCTTTCTCTGGCAGAGGAGCATGGTGTCACCATGGCTCCTGTATACATGGGAACCAGAAATTACTATAATACCTCCATAGCCTGGGCTAAGCGTTCTTCTAGTGCCATGTAGGTGAGGAACTGAGGATCCACATAAGAAATAGCTTCAGCAACTCCTAGTCCATCTGCAAATCCATCAAATAGGCTGGGGAAAAACAATATCATCATGATTTCGGGTATTTTTATAGTCAAGATATAATTATCATATACCAATAAGCCAATAAACACATTTTGAACAGAAACCCTTATTTTACATAAATCTTGTGAAGGGCAAATGGGAGGAAAAGAATGTTTAAGTGCTTTGTATGACCTCTTCCACTAGAGTGCAAAAGTTCATTGGAAGATTCGCTTTTTATGTTTCTAATACCAGTTGCTTAAGACTGAACTAAAGATAGTAAGTACTTTCTCCCTCTTAATTCTTTCTCGTATATTTCCACTTCTGTAGAGTTCTAATCAGAATTCAGGATATTATGAAAGTTCTTACAATTATTTTAATTATATCATTAGTTAGTGACTTGTCTTCTCTTGCCTTGTATTTCTTAATTATTTGGGCTTTAAAATAATCTATTTTCTCAAAGCCTTAAGATAGTACCAATCTCCTTTTTCTAACTACATGTAAATTCCTCCTTTCCAGAAATCACAGTACTTAGACTTCAAAATTTGGAAACGTTAAGTAAGTTCTGAATTCTCTTCTCCCTAATCTTGTCCTCTTGGAAATTACATTAAACCTTTATTTCTTCAATTATTCTCTCCACAGATAACTCCTGAGCGACTTGATTCTAAACTCCTGTCGAACTTTTGCCCTATATTTCTGATTGTGTGGAAGCAACTTATCCTAAATTGGTGGCTGGACCTCAAATTCATGATCTCTAAAGCTGAGCTTACTGCTCTATCTAAAGACAAACACCTTATGACTTCTTTATTGTTATCGGAATTTGATTATCATAGAAACATTCACGGTTACACACAAAAATTAGTTTACTGCATCAATGAAACTACAAACCTATTGCCAAGATGCCTATAAGTGACTCTTTCAGATGAATCCCTTATGAACACAGATCAGGGATGTGGATAGTCATATATCATATAAAGTACACTGGAAAGTGGATTATGGCAGTTTGGTTAAAATCTTTAGGCTTTATCATTTAAGTTCCCTATTGATGCATTTTAAAGTTGTTCTAGTTTTTATTATTTTCTGTTCTCTTTTCAACTGAGATTTTCCTGATTTTGTTATTGTTGTTAGCTCTTTTGACAATTTTTTGTTTCTGTATGTCCTTTGGTATATGAATTCCAGCATGGGTAAATCTATACAGAAGTAAGTGGATCAATGGTTCATTGGGAGTACAGCAGGGGGCTGGGGGGGCATGGGGAGCTAATAACAAGGAGTACAAGAAATAAGAAAATGTTCTAAAATTGACTATGGTAATGATTGTATATCTCTTCTTGATATGAATAAATGATTGAGTTGTATGATATTTTGATTAAGTCCCAATAAAACTCTGTGTGTGTGTGCAGAAGTAACTCTAATAAAGAACCTACCAGGGGGCTTCCAAAAGTTCATGGGAAATGGAATAAAAAGATACTGGAATTTGCCCATGATCTTTTTGAAGCCCCCTCATATTATAGATAGTAGCTAGAAAATAGCAAGCATCACAAGAAACATAGTAAAAAAGAATGAGCATTCTTCCAAGTACTGCATACTTTAAAGGTGGGGTTAATACTACGGATTACTGGATCCAACCACCCTTGCAACATTGGACGCCTTCATGAACAGGGAGATGCAGTGCAAAGAAGAGCCCTGGAGCCAGTCAGTCAGGATCCGCTTCCTATTTTAACTGAATCGTAGTTCAACTTGAAAGGTTTATTTAACTGTTTATTCTGGTTTTTCATCTATAAAGTAAGTGAAATGAGTAGCTGCACACAGGTGCTTGGTTTGTAACAGGTATTCAAGAAACAGTATCAGTCACTCCAGTGGGAGAACGGACTGCATTCGGAGTGGCAGAACCCGACCAGGAAACCTATGTGACGGCAGTGTTCTCCCTGCTCTTGTTTTGCCATCTGAGCACAAACTATACTCATTTTCTCTTTGTATTTCAGCCCTTCAAGTGGCTGAAATCCTTCATCTCCCAATGATTAGCATCTCCTCCAGGCTAAACAACCATAAATATGCAAAGCCCGAGCATCTGGTTATAGACTGTTAAGTGTAAAATGGTCAGTTCATGGTAAGAATTCTAGTATTATTCATTTAATAATCGCCATGGTATTAACCACTTCAGACCATAATCACGAATGGGTGCTAACACCAATATGTAAAGTATGATAGTTTAAACTGATAGTTTATAGACTCGAATTACACTTCCACAAGATGCCTAATGATTACAAGAGAGAAAATGGCAGCTGAACGTACAGAGAGGACATCTGGAAGATGCTACAGTAAGCGTGCAAGCAGATTTAAGAGGGGGCTTAAAACAGTTCATGGAGAGACAGAATTAAGAGAATGAAAACTTTCCATAAACTTTTTGAAGGTCCCTTGAAACAGCTCTGACCATGGGGAAAACTGACATCAAGGTCCTGACATACACCAAGAAGGACAAAACATCATTCCTATTGTGTTCCAGCCAAAAAATTCAAAACTCGAAGCTAATCAAGACCTCAGACCAACACAACCTCATGCACATTCTACAAAATAAATGGCTTGTACTTGTAAAAAATGTCAGGGTCACGAAAGGCTGACAAATGTTCTAGATTACAAGAATTCACAGAAACATTAACTAAGTGTAACAAGTGTCCCTGGCTTGGACCAAAGTTAAAAAAACAAACACTCCCCACCTCATTTTGTTCTAAAGGCATTAGTGGGCAACTAATGACATGGATAAGGTACTCTATTCGAATGTCCTTATTTCAGGGAAGTTCACTCTAGAGCATTTATGAGCAAAGAAACACCATGCTTACCACCTAATTAATGGTTTTGGGGGAAAAACAAAGCACATTAGTGAGAGAAATGAGAGGATGTTAGGAAAATGTTAGTATTTATGGATTCCTAATAAAGAATATGTAGGAATTATTTCATTAATTTTGTAATTTTATTAAAAATAAATTATTAAAAAACTTCTTTCATTAAACTATAGCATTATAGCCACATAGCAATATTTTTTTACACCCTTATTAGGTTAATAATTCCAACCCCAATTTCTTATTCCTTCTTAGAAAGGGAGGTTAAGTAACATTATGGCAGGGCTGAGAGGGATTTGAACCACATCTGCTCTCTATATCCAAAGCCTCTGTTTTCTTCACAGTATCTTCTACCATACCAAGTTATGAGATAATTCGCTTGGTATTTTCTAACTCCTCTGAGACTTCATCCAAATAACAAAGACACTTTCTATATGGAATTTCCTCCATTTTCCTTTAAAAGTAAAACAAGGAAACAAGAGCTGTAATTTTTTTCTAAGTAATCATGAAACTGCAAATACACACACACGCCAAATTTGGCCTTTATAGACTTGAATTGCTACTTGTCACATTTTCCCTTTCAAAATGCCAAGTTATTTTAATATCAAACCATATTTTTCACCTTATCAACTTTTAGCTACTGCCACCCAAAGTGACAGAGCACATAGCAAATTAAGAGGTACTGGCTTAATCTAGATATTCAAAATAGCAACCTTTAAATATTTTGGCTTAAAATCAATGCTTAAATGCTGTCTATTATTAAAAAATCTACTTGTGGAGCTTCCCAAAATTTGGGTAAAATTAGCAATGTTTCTAAAACCTTAATATAAAAGGCATATCTAGAAAGAGCAAGGATGAATTAAAATCTAATGTTAGACGTTAAAATTTTAAGTTAAAATTATACTTCACACAATTACTCCTTCAAATTTTTATGCAGAACTTTTTTCAATAGCTTTCAAAAGATCTATAAAAATACCACATAACTCAGTCATTTCACCAAAAATAAAAACCCCAAAGTACAGAACAAGCTTTGGGTGAGAGGGTATAATTCATTATACTGTTATAATTGGGAAATGATCATTAAATTTAAATGCATTATGGAATGGAAATTCTACATCACAGAGCTATAAAAATCATTTTTATAGACTTTTGTAAACATGCAACAGAAGAACCAGCCTCATATGAAACCATAACTGCCTCTTAATATACAGGACTAATATGACTAAAGAGATGCCTCCTTTATCTGTTGAGTGCTTTGATGAATTAATCTGCACATGGAGGAAAAACCGACTTCAAAATTAACGAGGAGTGCAGTGAGAGGGTAAAGGGGAGAGAGGCAAGAAAAGAAGGACGCGTTAGGGTGAGTGCTGCCAAGACTGAGGTAAGGCCACTGGAAGCTCTGTACTGCTTAGGAAGACAGAACATGGGTTCTGGAGAACAGGAAAGTTCAGGGTGGAATTATCTCACTTTCTCAGCCACAACATGGTTGACTAAAGTCTGCTCTACACACACAATCCTTTTTTCCACCAAGGAGAAAGAGAGTGGAAGGACGCAAAGACATGCTGATGCCCGTGTCCAAAACCAACTGGAGAAGCACCAAAAGTGCCTCCCATTAATATAACCCGAAAGAGAAGATAAATGGAAACCTAAACTCTACAACATGTGAGCAGAGATTTAGCATGAGATACACGTGAATTTTTCCCATTGCTATTTTTCTAAGTTTTCTGTATTGGAATAGTATAGTCTTTTATAACTGACAATAAAATATAGAAAGCAAGATTTGTAACAACTTTTTCTTCCCTTTTTCCCTATCAAAGGTAACAAAAAGAGAACAAGTAAATAAATATCCTTCCTCCACTTCAAGAGTTAGCTGTTTTCAATGTCTGTCGCACCTTTGAAGAATAAATCCAATTAAAAACCAGACAGTTAAATGGTGAGCATTACACCATAATAAGGAACCATTCGAAACCCACTGTATTTATATACAGCTCACGACAGTCAGGAGGTGCGGTGGCACACTGGTCACCGGAATCTGCAGCTAGGTGAAATGTCACTGGGTCAAACCGACCAGCTGAGCCACAGGAAATCTTCAGTAAAGATTTGCAGACTTGGAAGGCCTAGGTCATATACTACTCTGTCCTGGAGGGTCACTTGGAAAATCAACTGGAGGAAAATGAGCTTTTGTGTTTGTTTGAGGTTTTTTTTTGTCAGCATAAAATAAATGTAAGACTTTTATCACCTTTGGGAAGGTGCACTTATATCTTCCATATTTTACAAACAGAGAAAAAAAGGGGGTGGGGGAAGGAAAACTATTCTTAGGATTCCTCTGACTCAATCACCCATTTTGAACCTCTTCAGTAGTATTCATTACGAATCTTTTTTAATGCTGTGCTAAGCACAATAACGCACATAGAGCTAAATATATAAGTTAGAAACACAGAACTCCTGAGTGTAAAATTAAGTTGGATAGAAGATGAATTTTAGGAGAGCTAAGGGTCCTGAATGGCACAAACCATTCGTGTTCAACTGCTAATCTAGACTTTGGTGGTTGGACCTACCCAATGGCACATGCAAGAAAGCCTGGCAATCTGTTTCCATCAGCCTCGGCCAAAAAGCCCTTGGTGCAGTAATACATGGTTTCTTGTTTGCACAAAGCTTAAAGGTCAAGTAGGAAGAAGCTAGTGTCTAATAAAAGTAGGGACAGGTCCATTTAAGAAATGACATATGGAATGAGATTTGAAGGACATGATGGTTCTAACAGATGGGGAAATCAGTATACTCCTACCTATTAGGGCAAATTCTATTCAACAAATTCTAATCAATAGACAGTGTAGCATGACAGCAACGTGGCATGACATACCTCCAGTCCACATCTAAGTCTTCACTGACACTGGAGTCATCCTCAAGGTTATTGTTTCCATCCAGCATGAAAGCTTCTGGTTGTGCAAATTCACTGGCAGGCTCATTCCCTTCATCACTGCTGCTTTCATTTACTTCATTGTACTGTAACCAAGGAATCTCTCCCTCTTCTAAGGAGGCCTGTTCCCTAATTCAGAAATGTTAAAGAAAAAGCATTTTAAAAGGCATCATATAACTGTTCCTTAAAGAATTTTAGTTAGTGTGTAAGTGAACTGTTAGTTAAGTTCTATGTTTTTGGTACTTCTATGATTTAAAGACTTTCTTTTAACTGCAAGACTATTTAAAAAAGAAGCAAATCTGTGATAAGAGTTATAAGAGGGTGTAGGAGGCCTGGTAGGGCTTGATCAAGGGCAATGTAACTGAGAGGAATTAACTTAAACCCAAATGATGGCTGAGCATGATAGTGGGACGAGAGGAAAGTAAAAGGAAATAGAAGAAAGAACTAGGAGGCAAAAGGCATTTATAAAGGTCTAAATGCAGGCATGCACATATGTAAATATATTTA